GGTGTGGCAGCAATCGCGAGAATTCGATGGCGACGCGTGTGTGTTGGGGCTGCCGGAAACCCTATGCTGCCGGAAACTATATAGCCGAGCTTATCGCCAAGAGCCCGAAAGGTACAGCAGGTGCGTGATTTTCTGTGGCTGTAGGATACACTAAATGGATGGATGTGGGCGCGCTTTGGTGGTCGACCCCTCTGATTGGTCGAAACTCGAGTCTTGCTTACGCCTCAGCCTCCTTCATCGCCAAGCAGCACTGCGGCTCATGCATCCTGCGGGATTGCGCTGGTAAGAACTACAGTTCGAAACGTGACAGGCTATCATAAGAAACAAGTATCGCTCGGTGTCGCCCGGTGTCGCCCGGCAGGCCACCCATTGAAGGTCACTGGAACGGGAGAGTCAGCAGCCTTTTCGAACGCATGCGGCTTGTTGCTCGCCTTAGGGAACTAGCCATCTCGCGCGACACGGGAGCAACATCACACACCAGAGCTCACCGTGATCTTGCACCCTCGGTCTCTTCCGGATGACGGGCGTACACTTGAGATTCCCATCTTGCCCCTGCTGCGACTAGTTTGGCAAGCTAACTTGAAGTTTGATTCTTCTATCAAGCCATGAATCAATGTAAACACACAAACAATGATAGATTAAGTTCTCGTTGAGCCTTTTGCCTGTACTATCTCGTACGATCAGTAACTACAGCCCAAAACCCAGCATCAATCCAACCCCAGCCCCACGCTTACCATACCAATCCCTGTCAGATCATCAGGCCAATCCCCTTCAGCCTCAAATATCGCAGTAGTCTACCAACAACAAAGCACTGACCAAATATCGCAGTTACATCGCCATATCGTGCGAGTGCAAGATCTTGCAAGGCTCGCGTGCCCGCAGGGATGTGTCGCCTGAATCGGACTGCCAATGGCACCAGCGCGAGACAAAAATGGCATTGGCAGTCACGCTGCAAGACTCTGCCTAGACACTGTGCTCGCCGAAAAGTTGTATAAGAAGCACATGGAACCGCGAGTCTACATGTCCTCATCACATCACATCACCACAGCTTCTTCTCAACTACAACCCACTCTTCTCACCTACAACCCACTCTTCTCACCTACAACCCACTCTTCTCATCACAACCCACCCACTCCACACACCACCACTTCCACTTCCACCCACTTCTCTCTCTCTCCAAACAAATCGATCCATAACAATGAAGTTCCTCGCCATCCTCGCCCTCGCCTTCACTGCGTCCGTTGCCGCAAAGGGCTGCGAGAACTAGTACGTCCTCCCCTCCCCTCCCCTCTCTACTCTACTCTCCTCGCACATGATACGGCGATGCTAACACAGAGAAGTACAAACGGCGGCCAGTGCATTAATCCCCAGAAACGCGGGCTCGGGGTTACGAGTTTGCCTAGGCGGTGGTTGGCTTCGATGGGAGCTGTCGAGATTGAGGCGGAGGTCGAGGGGGAGGTTAGCAAGGAGTAGATGAGAGCTGGGAGTAATGAGTGGAGGGTCGGTTTTGGGGGTTCGGTTTTTGGTTTGGTTATTTGAGCGGTTGCATAGCACAGCGGTTTGTCACTCCTTTGGTGGGATGCATTTGCGTTGGAGTTTGTGATATCATCGGACGTTGTCATTCCTTAGACGTTTGGAAGGGGGATAGAGATGGGGCCTGCGAGGGCGGAAGTATATGCTTAATTGGGAAATCTTGCTTGTGAGCTCTTGCGGGTTTCTTGTGTGAAGTCACTCGTTCAGCCCTTTGGGAAGGATTGGTGACGACTTCGGCGGTTATCGACATTGCACGTGCTGGCGCGAGCTGTGGTGCAACGCTACATGTCTAAAAATGGAGCGAACCGAGCGATGCCGTTTTGGACTCTTGTTCTTTCAAAACTTTCAATTTCTGAGCTCCTACTCGTACGGTTTCATTCTTCTTGCATTATTTTCCTGGAGCAGCGATTACGCTACCAATTCTTCTCTCGCGACATCCTTCCACTTGAGAGCTGAAACAGTGACGCGGAAGGAGCGGTGTTCCCGAGCAACGACGGCCAGAATGCTCGAGATCGATATAATAACCTGTTATAGCTGAAAAAAAAACTGAGTATACCCCCGATTAAATAGTTAGTGGTCTATTGTACTGCCGCAATGCCCTCATCCGGTATGATGTTCCAAGACACACCCGCATACCCGACGGGTACAACGGACACCCGAATAGCACAATCGAGACTTGGAACCGGGACGGAAAGACGAATGGTTGAAATGGAGTCAAGCCAGCTTGGTGTCTTGACATTTTCTCGGGAGAGTACTTTTTGGGTCACTGTCTCGAGGCCAGAATCGCCGGATGGCCACCCAGCACACCGGGAGCTTAGATAACAACGCCTCAAGCAGAGACACGAAAGTAAAAAGTAGCGATTACAAAAAGAATCGAGCACGAAACGTAGAGCAGCGGATGGGATCGAACCATCGAACTCCAGTTTATGAGACTGGCGCTTTCCCTCTCAGCCACGCTGCTTATTTTCTTGTGTTCTTGTCTGTAATGCTGGTTTTCAAAAGATGTATAGTGTTTTTAGAGGGTGAATTGCATTAATTTTCGAGTGCAATTCATCATGATGAGGTTCGAGTGGTGAGTCACCTGTTCGGACGCTGATGAGGGCTGTGAGTCAAGATGGGGCTGTGCTGACTCGGTACGCAGGGTGGAGACGACATCAGAAGAACGTCGCACAAGAATCTGAAGGCATGATGTATGATTGTTTTCTGAGAGCGCTCAGAGTGCTCAGGACGCTCAGAGTGCTCAAGATACTCAGTGCTCGGGATGCTCGGAGTGCTCAGAGTGCTCAAGGTGCTCAGATGTCTGGAGCACGTGCAAATCCACCATCAACGCCATCGCCGCCTTGTCAACTCATCGTACAGATCCCCAGAACCCACTCTCACCCAGTACTTCTCAGATCTCCATATCCTGCTCCTGCTCCCGCTCCCTCACCGCATACGCCACCGCCCCAACCTGCACAAACTCCTTCCCCTCAAACGTCACCACCGAGCAATACTCCTCCACCCCAACCCTCACATACCTCATCCCCAGAAAATCACTCGCAATCCTCATCTCCGGACTCCCCCCCTCAAACACCCCCCCCTCCCAATCCGCCTCCACCCTACCCCCAAACTCCTCAACCAACTCCTCCGGCCACTCATACCCATACACAAGATGCGTGACCACGACCCCAACCCCCTCCTCCATCTCCGGCACTGCCATCGAGCAATCCGCCGTAAACGCAAACCTCCACGCCCGCGCTCCGGCCTGCACTCCGCGGCCCATGATCACCGGCTCGTCCCACAGCGGCTGCAAGCGCATCTCTAGCACCGCAGCATCTCCTTTCGCCCAATCCACAATACACCTTGACTCAAACCCCACACACGCCATCTTCCCCCTCTGATCCCTCGGCGCCTGCAGCACGCTCACCAGCACATCCCCACCCTCGTGCCCCTCACTCTTCTTCTCCAAATACACAGTGATGTCCAGTGGCGCAGGTACGCTGCAGCCTTGGTGCGGTACGAAGCCCGGGCGTCCGACGACTTTCCAGAGTTTGGCGATGTGCAGCGTGACGATCCACGGGCCAGCGAAATCCGAGTATTGGATTTGCGTTGCGCCGGTTGGGGAGAGGGTTACGGCGGGTTCGGAGACGGGGCGCGGGGGGGAGGAAGGGGAGATGAAGGTGAAGTGCTGGAAGCCGTGGGACGTGGTGCAAGCGGGGGTGCGGTGGAAGGGGATGGGGGGGATATTGGGGGCGAAGGGGATGGAGCCGAAGGTTGAGGTTGTGAAAGCGAGAGAACCGGGAGCGGGTTGGGAGGTGGTATCCGGTTTCGGAGCGGGGTTTGCTTCTGGGGTGGAGGGGCCTGGGGAGGCGTCTTTCCAGCTTGATTTGAAAGCGGCGGCTCCGAGATTGATAGTGTGGTCTTGAGGTGGGGCTTTGTCACTTGCTTTGAAGGTAGAGGGGCCGGTATTGGAGGTGAAGCCTGTGTTTGGCCCATTGTTGCTTGCTCTTGCGGTAGGCTTTCCTTTGGAGGCAGATGCACCAGGTTTGAGGCAGGAATCCGCGTCTGCATATCGATAATTCTCTGCGGCGGGATTTCTGAAGCTCGAAGCATCTGACGGACGCCATCCGTTTCCTGTTGGGTAGTATCCTGGAGTTGCTTGTGGCGGAGGCTTGGGATTCGGCGACTTCTCTTGCTGTTCTTGCTGTCCGCTTTGATCGCCCAGGCCCTTGAGCCGCTTCAGGTCATACGTAATGCGCTTCTCTGGGTCCGAGAGAATCTCGTTCGAATTGTTGATCTTCTTGAACTTCTCCGTGTGGTAGTCACGGGTTGCCTGCGTTTGCCCTTGCGTCTTGTCTGGGTGGTGTTTCAAAGACAATGTCCTATATGCCCTTGAGATTTCCGCTTGGGTGGCCAGGACGGAAACACCGAGAATGTCGTAGTGTGAATCCATGGTGGGTGTGGGGATCTCTCGCTCGGTCTTGTCGCTGCCAAATTTGCTCTGGAATTAAGAAAAAACATGGTGAGTAAGGAAGCTCGTGTAAGAGCGTGCTCGGATCGAGGATTACCATGGCTTATGGTGACGGTATATGAGGCGGCAGCGTTGTGTTGTGTTGTAAGAGAAGGGAAAGTCGCTGGAGTGGAGAGCAGTTTGACGGCCCCAAGTAATATTGCTCTGACGTAATAAAATACAAGTGATTGTGGGAGCAAACGCTTCACGCGCCCAGCAACTTCGTTGCCGCGTCCCCATTATCCACTATGCCTAAAACGGAACTAGGCTTCCGCCAACCCAGCAGCCTCCACATGCCTTCACTCATGCCTTTTACCTTTTCCGTCGGAATTGCAAGGAACTGGTTCTCCTCTGTACGCAGCGTGCCGCGAACGAAGAATAAGCCATGCATCTTGCGGGTCGAGTCCAGTGTGCTGTTATGCCCGCCTCCGTGATAGCAGGATGCCAGAAAGATAAGTGCAGAGCCAGGAGCCATTTCTGCACACAATGTCAGACATATCAACTCGACGACTGAATTGAATAGCTCATCTCAATGATGAACATCAAGATCACCCCTCTTCGCACACGTTCGCAGACTAACAACACCGACAAGCTCGAGAACACGTACCAGCAAAACACACCTCCTCCACCTTCGGCACCCTCTCATCCCCCCACAAATGACTCCCCGGCACCACCATCGTCGCCCCATTCTCCCTCATCGTCCTACTCCCCGCAACCAACACCCCCACCTGACTCGCCCTCCTCAGCTCAAACTTCCCCCCATGCCGAATCCCATGCACGTTATCATCGCGATGCAGCCTCTGCCTCGGCGCACCGGGCCCGATATGCAGCGTGATGCTAATACTCAAAAGCGGGTCGATGACATGCTGCTCGACGACATCCTCGCGCAAGACGCTGAACTCGTCGCGCAGGATATGCGTGCGCAGGGCCTCGAGCACGGGGCTTTCGCACAAGCGAGCGATGGTGGCGGATTTGCCGACTAGGCCGGGGATGACGAGGGTTTCCGGGGGGATGAGGGAAAGGGCGGTGGAGGTGGATGTGTCTGGGCGCTGATGGTAGGGCGAGAGTTCGGTGTCGATGGCGGAGAGGTCGGAGGGGGAGACGAGGTCGGTGAGGATGAGGGCACCGTCGCGGGCGAGGATGGAGAGGATGTCGGGGGTTGGGATGGTGGCGGGGAGGGCGGTGAGGGAGGTGGTGGGTTTGTAGGAGGGGGGGAGGGGTTGGGGGGTTGTGATGGCCATGATGGGGAGTGGAGTGGTGAGCTTTGGGGAGGCAAACAAATGGCCTGATACGGTGGTTAAGCTAATGGTAATTTGGACTTTTGATCCGTGTTCTTATACGCACTTTTCTGTTTAGTCGCATGGGCTTGTATCATGGGATAACGAATTCCGTCAACCAACCTACGCACCAATACCGAACGGGATATTAGAGCTGCCGTCAATTGTGGCTGGAACACGAGCTTCACGATCTATTGTCATCGTTTGATAGTATCAGATGCTTCTTCTAGTAATTCACAGTCTGAATCTAAAAGATATGAGTGGTCAACGCCAGTCGGCCAATCGTTTCATCAGATCTTGGGGGATGAGATTACCTACTTAGGCAAGGTCGCTAGAACATGTGGAGAATAATACCACGGAAAGCCAAGCTCCGTATATGTCAACTATCTTGTGAGCCGGAACAGTGCGCGATCGTTCGTCTTCAATCATTCATGTGACTAACAAGACGGAGTGAAGAATGGTAGATATTCGAATTGATATAAGGAGCGAGGACTGACCGTGGCTGCAATGTCTTCATATTTCTAGTAACTCTTCATACCCAAATAACGTATCTTACACTTTCATCATGGCGGAAGTCATATCAATTGCCAGCCCCATCTCCGCTCTCAAAGTGAAGCCAATCATCCAAAAGCAGCTTCACATCGCTCCACCATCTCCCGCCCATTCCACTTTCGATCCCTCAAAACATCTAAACTTCGTCCCACCATCCAACATCCTATCCCTCAAAGACATCGGCCTCCCAGAAGACGCCGGCATCTCCCCCGTCGCCGTCTCCGAGCCCTTCCCCCTCTTCACCCCCGAAGCCATCAGCATAATGCGCCACGAGATCTTCACCGACGCCGTCTGGCAAAACTGTCTCATCAGCACCGACTTCGCCGGCTGCCAACTTCGCGGCCACTGCCCCAAGCAAGTCCCCCCTCCTTCCCTCCTCCCACCTCTAACATCCCATCCCAGATACGCCCCCTTCATGCACAGCGCCTGGACGCATCCCACCACCCTCTCCCTCATCTCCCGCATCGCCACCATCGACCTAATCCCCATGTACGACTACGAAATCGGCAACATCAACATCTCCGTCAACGACCCCGCCGACGTCGCGAAACGCAGCGCCACGCAATCCGCCTCCGACCTGCCAGTCACAAAATGGCACAACGATAGCTACCCGTTCGTATGCGTCGTCATGATGAGCGACGCGACAAACATGAGCGGCGGCGAAACGGCGCTGCAAACAGGCCCAGGCGAGATCCTCAAGGTGCGCGGGCCGCAGATGGTATTCCCCCCCCCCCCTTACCACACTCCCTCAATTCTAAAATTGTATGTAGGGCCACGCCATCGTCCTTCAAGGCCGCTGCATAACGCACCAAGCGCTCGCCGCGCTCGGCGGCACCGAGCGCATCACGATGGTAACCTCGTTCCGGCCGCGCGATGCCTTTGTCAAAGATACCTCTGTGCTGACGACGATTCGCCCTTTGTCGGATTTGTCGGAGCTGTATTTTCAGTGGACGAGGTATAGGATCGAGGTTTTGCAGGAGAGGCTGAGGGGGATGCAGGAGGTGATGGGGGAGGAGCAGGAGGGGGGGAGGGGGGCGGATGGGGAGAAGATTAGGGGGTTTTTGAGGGGGGTGGAGGAGTGGGTTCGGGGGACTTGGGGGGAGATTGTGTAGTTGTTTCAGTGGCATTATTGTGGGACTTTGG